TAGAACTTTTAAAGCTTTAAGGCTGTAAAACTCTTAGAAGAAACACACGTATAAATCTTCCTACCCTTGAGCTTTTCACTGAGGTCTTACATATGGCATGGAAAGCACAAGCAACAAAAGAAGAAAATAGATAAATCAGACTTCATCAAAATTTAAAACACATTTGCTTCAAAGGACATTCATCAAGAAAGTTGAAAAGACGTCTTAGGAAATGGGAGAAAATATTTGCAAATCGTATATCTGATAAGGGTCTATCATCCAGAATATATAAAGAAAAGAAATCTGAAACTCAACAACAAAATGACAAGCAACCGCATGAAAATATGACCAAAGCACTCAGAATAGACTTTCCTCCAAAGAAGACATACACGGCCCAGAAGCACAGGAAAGATGCTATCAACATCATTAGTCATTAGGGAAATGCAAATCAAAACCCCAAAGACGTATCATTTCACACCCACCAGGTTGTTACAGTTTTTGAAAAGAAAAAATAATAAAGCATTGGCAATTCATGTGGAAAAACCATGCCTCGCTGGCGGGAATACAAAAGTAAAATGGTGCGGCCGTGGTGAAAAATAGTTTGGCTGTTTCTCCAAAAGTTAAGTGTGGAGTTAGCCTATGACCCAGCAGTTCCACTCCTAGGTGCAGACCCAAGGGAATGGAAAATGTGTTCCCACAAAAACTTACACACAAATGTTCATGGCAGTATCATTCATGATAGCCACAAGGTGGAAACAACTCAAATGTTTATCCACAGATGAATGGATAAAGAAAATGTGGTACGTCCATACAATGGAATATTACTCAGCTGTAAAAAGGAACAAAGCACCGATTGTTACCGCAACAAGGATGAACCTTCGAAAACATTATGGGATGTGGAAGAACACAGACCCGGCAGGCCACACATTGGGGATGGAGTTCTTTTTTAGGGTGATGAAATATGCTGGAAAAAGATAGTGGTGATGGTGACACAACCTTGAAATATACTAAATAAAACAAAACCCGCTGAATTGCATACTTGAAGGTGGTGACTTTATATATATGTGAAGTATATCTCCATTTTTTAAAAAAAAGTATGGAGAGGTCCCTTGTGCCCTTGCCCACCAGCGTCCCCCAGTGCTAACATCCTGTATAACTGTAGTACATTATCAAACCCAGGAAATTGACATTTCCTGACATAGTTTCAGGTGCACACCTTTGTACACACATTCGTGTGCGTGTGCGTATGAGTCCTATGCAATGTTATCACTCGTGTAGATTCATGTAACCACCACCCCATCAAAATACACAAACACAAAATACAACAGTTCCATCACCAGAGAGGGATTCCCCCTCGCAACCCTTTACAGCCATAACCCCCACACACCCATCCCTAACGTTGGCAACCACAGATCTGTTTTCGCTTCAAGAGTGCTATATAAAAGGAATCATCTTGTATGTAATCTTTTTGAGACTGGCTTTTTCCACTCAGTATAATGCCTTTGACATCCATCCAAACTGTGTGTGTCCATAGCTTGTTCCTTTTGATTATGATAATTTATTAAATTGGGGCTACTTCTGAGGGCAGTCCAGCATATCCCTGAAGGGGGTAGATCTGTATTAGGTTAATTCTGGAAGAGGGAGGCACCTTAATTAGGAATGAGAAAGGGACCTCCTGTCTCCCCTGACTGTCCATTCTAAAAATGCCCTTCCATTGGCCATTAAGAATTCACTCTTATTTTCTTTGTCGAATTTATCCATGCCTGGTTGGGTTGTTGTTTTTTTTTTTTTCCTGGCAGTATAACTTGTTTGCTTCCCCGACCAGTGCAGAGCTGGGACCTGGTGGGCCAGGCTCCGCCACCCACCCCTGACTGTAGTTCGGCACCTGCCCCACAGGAGGGTATTTGTATTGAGCAAATGGGTAACAGACGCTGTGAGAGCCTCCCCGGCCCTCTGGCCCTTCCCACGTCTGTGCGTGCTGGCTGTACTTCCCACTGATAATTCTCTGACGGAGGATTGCTTTTCTGGCCTCCGGGGCCCACTCTGCCTGCTGTGCAGCGGGCCCAAACCGGTGGGGAATGGAGCCCCCAGGAGCAGCCCTCAACCTACGCTGGTGGGCATTGGGGTATGAATACCCCAGCTCCCTTGTCCCGGGGGTGGAGTTGCTCCGGGGCACGTTCTGCTCTGGCTCCCAGATTCCCTGGTGGCACTGAGCTCCAGATGCCACAGGAGCGGGCTCTCTTGGTAACACACTCTTTATGAAATGCCTTTCCTCCCCTCCTCTTCCCCATGCTCCTTTGGTGTCCAGATAATCTCCTGACACTCAAATCCTTGACTCGGGGGTCTGCTTCTGAGAGAACACAAACTAAGACAGCATGAATAAATGGATTAAAATAGGTGTACATCCTTACTCCACCACTGAGGCAAGCCACACCCTTTGCTCCCTTGCTGAGCTGTGACGGGAGGGTTACAGCACTTGTCCCCTCCCAGGGCTTTGAGAGAACCCAGTGAGGTCACAGCAGCAGCAAGAGGGAACCCTGATTCTTGTTCTGCCGTCTCTGTTACTGCCTGTGATGGACAGGTGCAGCAGACGCTCGGCCTGCTGGCCTGGCATCCGGGGGTTCGCGCAGCGTGCCTCGGCCAGCCCTCAATGGCTTCCCATCAGCCTTCATCTCAGAGACTCTGTCTGCTAATGAGGCCCTGAGTTACCCGCAGGTTAATGTTCTTTGACTTTGAACACCATGATTCCCACTTAGTCCTCCTGTTATCCCTCCTGCTGACAGAAATGTGATGGGAAATCAATGGCAGTCCCCTCGCCCGTGTCTAAGGGTCAGCCTTCAGACTCTTCCTTTGTCAAGCAGCCACAGCGACCCAGTTTAGGCCCCAACTTGGGGAACGAATGAGATGCACCCGTTGGAAGCCGAAATGTTGTCTCCTGACCCCTTGCAGCTGCCCAGAGCACTAAAAGTTCTTGCAGAGCTTGAGAAACTTGGCCGGAATAAGTCAGAACCCCTTGAACCCCTCTCCCCCCTTAACAAAAGCAACCTCCTCCCTCCTGAAAGGCACCATTGTCATTGGAACAAGCCAGCTTTGTTCTCCCCCCCGCAGCTGGAGCCTGGGCCTCGCATCTCCTGGGGGGCAGCAAAACCCCAGCGTCGGCCAGTCTCCTCCCCTGGCTGTGTCAAGTAGACGGCCTGGTCCTGGTGACGAGTCTGCTGAGACCCTCTCAAATACACGGCGGTGCTCCGTTTAGGTGAAAGGGACAACTTCACTGGTATCAGAGATGTGGTGGTTATGTTGGCAGATGGGACTTACTGTAGCTGTCAGCCACTAGGTGGGGACCCTAGACTCAGTTGCCCGCAGGGGCCAGACAGGGGCATAACCTGGAAAGAGAAGTAGGTGTGAGACTAAAACTGTAAGCTGGGGTGCCTGGTTGGGTCACTTAAGCATCTGACTTCGGCTCAGGTCATGATCTCACGGTTCATGAGTTCCAGCCCTGCCTCGGGCTCCCCACTGTCAGCACAGAGCCCACTTCGGATCCTCTGCCCACCTCTCTCTCTCCCTGCCCCTCCCCAGCTCACTCACACACACTCTTTCCCTCTCTCTCTCAAAATTTAAAACAAAACAAAACAAAACTCTAAAACTGTAGGGAGCTGTGGGGACTGGGGTGCCCGAGAGCCCCAGCCGGCCCGGCCATGGGAGCTGTGCCCTAGGCCCCAGCCAGCAGCTGTTAGGGGCCCTGTGTTGCCCTGCGTCTTGCCTGTCCACACACTAGCTCTGGAGGGAAAGGCGAAATCTCCCCACCTTTAAATGTTGGCAACAGTGTTTTTGAATACTTCATGAGCCAAACGAAATAGCTAGGCAGGCCAGATGAGTTTATAGCCTCTTCTCTAGTTGCAATGAAAAGACAGCTATTAGGAGGTAAATTTCATTCATTCATTCATTCATTCATTCGACAAAGATTCTGTGGCATCTACCATGTGCCAGGGAACCGTGTGGAAACTCTACACAGACGCTTCCCTTGAGCTCACAGTCAAGTGTGTGGAGGGCTGACCTGGACTGGAAAACAGGTGGTTGTGGGACACTGAGTAAAATGCTAACCTTAGGCACTGCAAGGAACCCTAGGTGCCTGGAGGAGAGAGTGATGGTGACAGGGAAGGGGTGACTGTGGGCGTGACAGCACATTTGGGCTGAATTTCCCTGGGAGGGAGGGGCTGGAAGAGTATTGCAAACAGAGGCCCAGCCTGTGCAAAGGCACTGAGGCCGAGCCTGCAGGGGGCTGTTTGGGAGCAGCTGTGAGTTTTCTCGGGACAGAACGTAGAAGAGGTATCCAAAGAGACAGAACAGGAGGCAGCTGGGGCTGAGAAGAGTCCCCAGATTTGGCTTTTTCCACCTGCATCTAAAGCACCTGTGGCATGGAATTTTGTTGGTGCAAAATGCACATGGCAGCAGGGCTTCCTTGCTCCTCTGGCCTTGAGAGCGGCTTTGGCAGCCTCACCGGTGGGCGGAAACCACACTCTGGGGTCCCGAGGCCTGGAAACCCTGCCAGGGAACAGAGCAAATCCTGAGGCTCGGTGCCACAGCCCCGTCCCAGTGCCTGCACCGGTTTCTTTTCTTCCTTTTCTATTTTTTAAATGTTTTTAATTCTACAGGGTTTTTACAAAAGAAAACCAAAGGCTCTGTTTGCCAGGTTAATGAATAGCACAAGTGATGGCTCTTTTCCCAACCTCCCTTCCCCTCTCAGTCCCCATCCCCAGCCATCTCCCCAGAGCTGATTAGATCAATTAGAATAAAGCCCGCTGCATTTTAAATTCAGTCCGAATGGCAGAGCAGAGAGGCCCTCAAGCCAGCCTGTGCCAGGGATGAGTCAGTACCTGCTACAAAGTGCAGTCCGGGCGGCTGAGATCTAAGACTCCACCTCGGATTACGGAGAGGAGGCCTAGCCTCCTGCCCTCAGCTTGTTTACACTGGGGAGAGGCAGAAAATGGGCTAACGACTTCCCTCTCTTGCTGGTGTTTCAGAGCAAGAAAGACCCCTCCTTGTGGACGTGCCCCTTCCACCCGCCGCTCCAGCTCTTTTTTGTTATCCGCAACACGAGCCGCCTGCACGACTTTGATCTAGCCAAGATCAAGGTTTGGAATTACTGGACAGCTGATGGTGTAAGTAAGGGCCCCCGACTACTCCTTGGGCGTTTGACTGACGGAAGCACTTTAGCGCTGTCCAACAGCCTGAGTGCTGAAGTTGCAAAATGGGTACGCGGAGGCCCCACTGCGGCCCTTCCTGCCTGTTGCAGAATGCCTGGTGGTGCATTTCACACTGCATGGTTGGGGCCACCAGGAGCAGGGCCTCAGCTTGCAGGTGTGGCCGCCCTTTGCCGGAACTGGGGCTCAATGTTAATAGATAAGAAACAGACACACAGAGAGGTTGTGTGACATGCCCCAAGTCACACAGCAAGGAAGCGTCACAGTGAGAATTTGAACCCACGCAGTCAGACTCTGGGCCCGTTCACTTAGCCAGGGCTTCTCAGACCTTAATCTGCGATACCTTACCGGGACTCTTGCTAAAATGCAGGTTCCGATTCAGCGGGTCTGGAGCAGAGCCCAAGATTTTGCATTCACCTGTGCCAGTGTCCCTGGGGTGAGAACCCCACTCTGAACAGTGAGGCTCTTAACCTCTGTGCTCCTCTGTCCCCCCGGTTTCAGCATCCCTGCCCTCCTTTCTACCCCCACACCACCTCCTACCCCTGGGCACTTATGCTTTCTTTCTTCTCTGGGCTGTTTTTTCATGCTCTCGTTTGTATTTATTTCTTCATTCGACATTTATTGTTGAGCATATGTACCATCGGCCTTCCTGATCAGTTCGGAGGACATTGGTATCACAGACCTAGTCCCTGTCCAGGAGGTACTCCTGGTCTAAAAGCTGGCAGACAAGTAATTGTAAAAATAGGACGCAGTGTGCTGAAGGCCTTGATAGAGGTGACTGCAGGGTGCCCAGGGTTTCAAACAGAAAGCCCAGGAACTCAGCAGGGAACTCAGTGCGTGAGGAAGGACAAGACCCCCTCAGCCTGACTTGTTTCCCCTCTTATGACAGACATGGGGACAAGAATTGCTCTGCTCTCCCTTCCAACTTGTTCTCAGGGAAGCAATAATGCAAGGGAGATGAATGATGGAAACTGGTCCTCAGCTTCAATATTGTGAAAAGAGACGGCAGGGCATGGTGGGGAGTGTGGCGAACTGGTAAGCACATGCTTTAGGTAAAGGGAAGGCCACTTTTCAGCTTCAGTTAATGGCTGCTATATAGGAATGCCAGCCAGTGCTGCTAGGTCATCTGAACATTCCCAGGGAGTTGGGAATTTGGAATCTGATAGGAGCCTTTCTGGTTTGTAAATGTCAACAGCTAATTGAAATTCCTTTGAAACCACTCCACGGTCCAAAGCAAACTCATCGTTGGGCTGGAGTTGGCCTGTCTAGACTGTAGCCCCTGGAACGTGGAGGGAGCCTGCATCAGGCTGGGAGAGCTCAGGGAAGGGGCTTGGAACCCACAACTGAGCTGTGGCGGAGACAATAGCACAGAGCCAAGGTAGAAAAGAAGAAAGCGGGTCCCAGGTGGGGAGCCCCGCATGTGCAAAGGCACTGAGGTGTGGAAGGGTGCAGCCTCTGAACTGCTCTCGCTGTCCCCAGGCCCAGGCCTCCAGTCGGTCTCCAGCAGCCCCTGGGAGGTCTGATCATCATTCTTTCCTGCTTCACACCCTCAGAGGCTCCCCCTGTCCCAGAGGACCCAGGTCAAACCCCTTAGTGTGACTTCAGGGCCTCCTAATCCCTGTGCGCCAGGCCCTGTGTCTCCCATCAGCCCCTGCCCCTTGCTGGCTCCACACTCCGGAGTGTCAGCTGCTGTGACTCTCTACCACCCCACACGGCAGTTACCCTGTAGGCCCTGGACCCTCCCATCCGTCTCAGCTCGAAGTGCCCGCCTCTGCCGTAGATTCCTGGAAAACGAGACATCATTTTCTCCAGGAAGCTGGCCCTGACCCCTGGCCCTTATGCCACTTCTGGCCCTCATGAATATGTTCCATCATCCCCATACTGGGATTGACACCTGCCTCCCCCAGACCACCATGGGCACCTGGGGAGCAGGAGCTGTGCTGTCTCCACGTCAAGACCCTGCGAAGTAGAAATGCATGGTTGCCAGCTGAAGGAATGAGTTCATTCCCCAGAACCCACAAGCAGCTGTCTTACGCTTTTTGATATCCAGATGAGACACAGAGAATCAGAGTTCCGGGTGTTTGAGCAGGCTCATACGGAAGGTTAAAGCTGAGGATCAAGTCCAGGGGAGTCTGCCCCTCCTCCCTCCTTCCCATCCCCCCCATCCTGTACTTCTTCCTGCTAATTCTCTCAGCCACCCCCCCCACCCCCCCCCCAGGCGTCCAGCTGTGTGCTTAGGGGCTGTCCTCCAGGCCCTAGCGGGACCCCCACCCCTGTGTAGCCGCGGACACTACCAGCAGGTAGGGCCATGCTCTCTCCTCTTGGGCGCTTCCTGGCAGGTGGTCGTCAGCATCTTCTGGAATGAGTAATGGAACAGTGCTGACTGCCCAAGCCCGTGCCCTGTGGCTCAGCCCTGTCATTGACTATACGTCTCAGGCCAAGAAAAGCGGATTTGATGTGCTGGATTACAAAGCAGATAAGCTTCATCCCTTTTGGCCGCGGCCCGCCTCTCTTCTTGAACCTGCACTCAGGCTTCCCTGTGTGCGAAGAATAAAAAAGAGGAGCAGGACGTCAGGGTGTCGTTGCGGGTGCTTTGGGGAGCCTCGGCTGCGGGGATTAGAGTCCTGAGGAGGTATCTCTACACGCAGAGTGGAGTGCGGAGGACTGCAGTCCCTGACAGGGGTGCTGCTTATGTAACGCACACCCGTCTGTTGCCAGAATTTACCGGGGGCAGAAAGCGCAAACAAATGCAGCGGCAGGTTGGTTTGATTTAATATTCTCCGGAGAATGCTATTACTGTGTGTTTTAGAGGAGATAAACTGAGACTTTATAGGAAATATAGCTCAGCCTGGTAGACACGGCTTGTTAATACAGTGTTTTGTGTACGGGAATCCAAGGAAGAAAAGTTAAATGGGGGGAGCTAATCCAACCAAGGCGTATTGAGAACATAAGACGAGAAGGTGCTAGAAAAAGGAAGTCTCTCTTATTGCAAAATATGCCGCCCGTTAAATCCCCAGGCTAACTTTTCTGGGCTCCTCTCCCCCTCATCAGGTGAGGCGGTGGGTGTGGGCTGGCCCCGAGGGGAGGGACTTCAGGGGAAGGGAAGACACAGGGGCTGGAATCCGTCCACACAGGCAAACAGAAGGCAGCACACAGATGTCTGTCCTTGTCACAGCTGCCGTTTATCCAGTGCCGCGTCCATCAGGCGGGCGTGAGGCACCCAAATAACACCAATAACTGAGCGAATGAATCATCTCGACTGACCCCCAGTAATCCTACAAGGTGGTGTCAGCCTTGGAGGTGAAGAAGCTGGGGCTTAGAGTAGCGAGCTCCTAGGGGGCAGGTAGACTGTGTCTTTTTTACCGGCTCTGCTTGGCAATGGCTGCCTGGAGTGCTGTCTTGGGAAGGATCTGGAACCTTCCTTCTGATTCAAAAAGAAGAGGGTGTGTGATTGATCAGTGATGTCGGCCTCGGGCTCAGGAGGAGGATGTGATAATACGTCTGTCACGTTTTTTGATACTTGTCAGATTCCACGACTTGGCCCAGCTAGTGGCTTGCAGGGGACACGGTGGAGAGGGGAGCGTGAGAGGTGTTGGTTTTTCTGTTTTTTTTTCTCAGCACCGCCCCCACCCCTGCAGAAGAGAGGCGGAAGGAACCAGAAGTCTCCCTTACTCTCGTGTGTAGTAACCCATCCAAAAAGTGGGCTTTCAGCCGCTCCCCAGGGTCTGTGTTTCCCTTTGTAACAAGCCTGTTAGTTATCTGCTATCTGGTGGCACCCTTCAGGAACGACAGGCACGTTGTCACCATCTTCGCCCACACCATAACCGGTGCCGATGCCACTTCCATTTGGTCACAACAGCGAGTGAGGCAGGACGGACCCCCAGGGGTGTATTTCATACACAGAAAAGCTGCTCCTTGGATAGTTTATGAATGAATGGATGTCAGAGTTCCCCAGTGGTGTGACTGTGTGATATGCTATGGCCGTCTAAGCCCCTGCTGCCCCAGAGAACTTTCTACAATGATATCAACGCTCTGTGTCTGCCCCGGCCGGTTCAGTAACCCCCAAGCCACAGGTGGCTGTTGAGAACTTGCAGTGTGGCCAGTAACTAAGAAACTGCATTTTATTTTATTTATTTATTTATTTATAATTTTTTTTAAACGTTTATTTATTTTTGAGACAGAGCGAGAGACAGAGTGCAAGAGGGGGAGGGGCAGACAGAGGGAAACGCAGACTCTGAAGCGGGCTCCAGGCTCTGAGCTGTCAGCACGGAGCCTGATGCGGGGCTTGAACTCATGAACCGTGAGATCATGACCTGAGCCGAAGTCGGTCACTTAACCAACTGAGCCTCTCAGGCGCCCCTTATTTATTTATTTTTAATTGAGGTGTAATTGACATATAAGACTGTATTCGTTTTAGGGGTACAGGCTTTGAGATAGGTACATATTGCAAATAATCACTAAATAATAAACGAAACTAAATAATCAGTTTAGTTAACGTCCACCAGCTCACATAGTTACAAAAATTTTTTTTCTCATGATGAGAACTTTTAAGATCAACTTTCTTAGGCACTTTCAAATTTACGATACAGTATTGTTAACTACCGTCACCATGCTGTATGTTACATCCCCAGGACTTTTTTATCTTGTACCTGGAAGTTTGTGCCTTTTGGTGCTTCTCCCCCCTTATCACCACCTCCCACTTCCTGCCTCTGGCAACCACCAGTCTGTTCTCTGGATCTATGTGTTCAGGTTTGTTTGTTTGCTTTTTAACATTTATTAATTTTTGAGAGACAGAGGCTGAGCACAAGCAGGGGTGGGGCAGAGAGAGAGAGGGGGACACGGCATCCGAAGCAGGCTCCAGTCTCCGCGCTGTCAGCACAGAGCCCAACGGGGGGCTCGAACCCACAGACCACGAGATCGTGATCTGAGCCGAAGTCGGAGGCTTAACCGACTGAGCC